CCCTTGAAAAGTAAGTCCATTGAGTATTGACCCTTGAAAAGTAAATCCATTGAGTACTGACTCTTGAAAAGTAAATCCATTGAGTTCTGACCCTTGAAAAGTAAGTCTGTTGAGTACTGACCCTTGAAAAGTAAGTCCATTGAGTACTGACCCTTGAAAAGTAAGTCCATTGAGTACTGAGCCTTGAAAAGTAAATCCATTGAGTACTGACCATTGAAAGGTAAATCCATTGAGTACTGACCATTGAAAGGTAAATCCATTGAGTACTGACCATTGAAAGGTAAATCCATTGAGTACTGACTCTTGAAAAGTAAATCCATTGAGTACTGACCCTTGAAAAGTAAGTCCATTGAGTACTGACTCTTGAAAAATAAGTCCATTGAGTACTGACCCTTGAAAAGTAAGTCCATTGAGTACTGACCCTTGAACAGTAAGTCCATTGAGTACTGACCCTTGAAAAGTAAGTCCATTGAGTACTGACTCTTGAAAAGTAAATCCATTGAGTACTGACCCTTGAAAAGTAAGTCCATTGAGTACTGACTCTTGAAAAATAAGTCCATTGAGTACTGACCCTTGAAAAGTAAGTCCATTGAGTACTGACCCTTGAAAAGTAAGTCCATTGAGTACTGACCCTTGAAAAGTAAGTCCATTGAGTACTGACCCTTGAAAAATAAGTCCATTGAGTACTGACCCTTGAAAAGTAAGTCCATTGAGTACTGACCCTTGAAAAGTAAGTCCATTGAGTACTGACCCTTGAAAAGTAAATCCATTGAGTACTGACCCTTGAAAAGTAAATCCATTGAGTACTGACCCTTGAAAAGTAAATCCATTTAGTACTGACCCTTGAAAAATATGTCCATTGAGCACCGACCCTTGAAAAGTAAATCCATTGAGTCCTGACCCTTGAAAAGTAAGTCTGTTGAGTACTGACCCTTGAAAAGTAAGTCCGTTGAGTACTGACTCTTGATAAGTAAATTCATTGAGTACTGACCCTTGAAAAGTAAATCCATTGAGTACTGACCCTTGAAAAGTAAGTCCATTGAGTACTGACCCTTGAAAAGTAAGTCCATTGAGTACTGACCCTTGAAAAATAAGTCCATTGAACAGTGACCCTTTTTCGAGAAAGTTCACAGAGCGTGGGCCCTTCACCAAAAAAGTATGGATCCTTGGTACAAAATTAACCCCTATCTGGTCAGGTCAATATTATAATAATATTTCACTTTACAGGATGAAAGATGCAGATAAGAAGAAACATTTGTTATCTACATTTAAAAAGAATGAAAGAGACAAAAAGAAACTGATGGACACCGTAATGAAGCAATTGAGAAGCCTTGCTAATGCAGGAAGTGGTCAAGGAAAGGCACAAAGCTGAAAGAAGATGATACCAGCGTAACTGAGATTGCAGAACATACAGAGGTCACTCATGTGTGCAATACACAGCAATATGTCGCTGTGGTTTGAAGTGTTGCCAAATAATCGGATAAGATATCACGTGTGGAGGATATACTGTAAATATTGTACTGTTTCTGGAGTATAAAATGTGTGGCCTTGATTTGTGGTCTGCATGTATATATAGCATATATTGATTAGTGAATACAACCTTTATGTAAGGAAATCATTATTTTGTACTTCACACTTACATGCTGCACTGTAATATATGTGCTGATTCGTCTTTGAATGCCACCCCTGCTTTCACCCCCGGATTCAATTATCATAGAGATGGTTATTTTTCTTATTCTGTTCTATTGTTATTGATGTGTGAATAAAAATCCTGTACAGAAATCACTCTCATACCAAGATATGTGCAGAAATCACTCACACCAAGACATGTGCAGAAATCACTCTCATACCATGACATGTGCAGAAATCACTCTTTCACCAAGACATGTGAGGAAATCACTCGCATCTCGACATGTGCAGAAATCACTGGCATCTTGACATGTGCAGAAATCACTTTCCCGCCAAGACATGTGCAGAAATCACTCTCATACCATGACATGTGCAGAAATCACTCTTTCACCAAGACATGTGAGGAAATCACTCGCATCTCGACATGTGCAGAAATCACTCGCATCTCGACATGTGCAGAAATCACTCGCATCTTGACATGTGCAGAAATCACTTTCCCGCCAAGACTTGTGCAGAAATCACTCTCATCCCAAGACATGTGCAGAAATCACTCTCACACCACATGTGCAGAAATCACTCTCACACCAAGACATGTGCAGAAATTACTCTCATACCAAGACATGTGCAGAAATCACTCTCACACCAAGACATGTCCAGAAATCACTCTCATACCACGACGACGTGTGCAGAAATCACTCACACCACATGTGCAGAAATCACTCTCACACCACATGTGCAGAAATCACTCTCACACCAAGACATGTGCAGAAATTACTCTCATACCAAGACATGTGCAGAAATCACTCACACCAGACGTGCAGAAATCACTCTCACAGCACATGTGCAGAAATCACTCTCACAGCACATGTGCAGAAATCACTCTAACACCAAGACATGTGCAGAAATTACTCTCATACCAAGACATGTGCAGAAATCACTCTCACACCAAGACATGTGCAGAAATTACTCTCATACCAAGACATGTGCAGAAATTACTCTCATACCACATGTGCAGAAATCACTCTCACACCACGACATGTGCAGAAATCACTCTCACGCTAAGACATGTGAGGAAATCACTCTCACACCAAACCATGTGCAGAAATCACTCTCAGACCAAGACGTGCAAAAATCACTCTCATCCCAAGACATGTGCAGAAATCACTCTCACACCAGGACATGTGCAGAAATCACTCTCACACTAAGACTTGTGCAGAAATCACTCTCAT